TGGTTTAAGGCCCCCTTCCCGTCCAGTTTGCCCTTGCCAACTGATGATCAGTTGGCAAAAGCAAAGGACAAATGCCCAGTTTTACCAAAAAATTCAGGACGCCCAGGACAGGGCTTAAAAAAGGCACTGTCCAAGCCAAAACAGGACATATGGCCACCCTAGGTGTCCCTTATACAGTATGAGTGTTACTTAGGAGGTATGAGCATTTCCTGGGTCTTTTTAATTGGTGCATCATTTGAGACAGTGGTTGGCTCTGAATACATAGGGTCTGTTTGCAATAAACCCTTACACTATCTATCTAATCCATCCATCTACCATCCTTAAATCCTATGAGACTGAAAGAAATAGGAGCCCTGTGTGTAGCCCTGGGAGTAGGTGCCAGGGGATGGATCACTTGATGATTACCTGTTCTGTTCATTCCCTCTGGGGCACCTGGCATTGGCCACTGTCAGAAGACAAGATACAGGGCTATGGACCTTTGGTTTGATCCAGTATGGCCGTTCTTATGATAGGATGAAGCTGTGTGGGAAGCCTTTGGTTGAAACAGCAGATTCTGCTGCAGGGCAGGACTGAGGAGCATTGGCAGAGCTGTGTGGAGAACCCAGGACTGGAACAGCAAGAGGGTTGCAGGGGAGGACTGAGGGGCATTGGCAGAGCTGTGCGGGGAGCCCAGGGCTGGAATATCAGTGGGCTGCAGGGCAGGATTGAGGGGCATTGGCAGATCTGGGGCCCAGGTCATGGGAGGACAAGCAAGGGCCATGCTGCACAATACAAATGAGGGAGACTGAGTAAGATTTCATCCCATTGGGGAACTCGAACTTTGCATGAGGTCGAGCTCGGTGCCCAGGAATCAACCAGCTTAGGTTCTGTGTATTAAGATGTGACTTTATTAAGATAAAGATGTCAATAGATACAGCATCAAAGTCACCATGTATGAAAGGAAACTTTATAGTATTCAGAAAAAAAAAGTTAAGACCCCACCAGGAGAGAACCATCTACACAGCATCAGACATTCGTCCTCTAAATCCATTAACAGGACTGAGACCTCTTCAAAGGAAGTGGTGGAAACCCCATTGCGCAAGTCATTCAAAGCAGGATGAGATAAGGAAGTGGAGAATGTGCTGCAGGAACCAACCCTGCCCTGTCTCCCCGGTGAGATGAGAACTAGAAGATCTTTTCAATGTCTTGGAGGTACAGTCTTAGGATCAGGGTGTTGGGTGAAATTCTGCCCTCTTTCTGCACCTCAGCACAGCAGAGTATTTATGGCTCTTACACAATCGTTGATTGTTTTGTTCCAGTAAGAATATGTTTAAACTGTCGACAAGAATTAGTGGCCATAATTCTACAGTTTGTGGTTTTTACAGTGGTTTTCCAGCTCTTCTGCTCACACGCCACTTGTGAATATTTATCACAGACAGTAATTACTAGGAATACTAGCTATTCACTAAAAGAAAAACAGGACTTGTGGCACCTTAGAGACTAACAAATTTATTTGAGCATAAGCTTTTGTGAGCTACAGCTCACTTCATTGGATGCTCACGAAAGCTCATGCTCAAATAAATTGGTTAGTCTCTAAGGTGCCACAAGTACTCCTTTTCTTTTTGCGAATACAGACTAACACGGCTGTTACTCTGAAACTTGAAGTGAGCTGTAGCTCATGAAAGCTTATGCTCAAATAAATTTGTTAGTCTCTAAGGTGCCACAAGTACTCCTTTTCTTTTTGCGAATACAGACTAAGACGGCTGCTACTCTGAAACCTAGCTATTCACTGCACTACTTAGGCCTTGTTTACACTGCAGGTAAAGCCAGATTAAAGGGCCCAGATAAAACAGGCACCTCTCCCAACACAGTGTCAGCAGGGCTCAGTTTTGTTGATTTCATCTGCGGGCTTGTCTCCATGAGAAAACTGCACCAATTTAACTAAATGAGTTTAGATGCTGATGGAGTCAAATTGGTGCAACCCCGTCCATGTGGACACTCTTATTTCTGTATTAAAGAGCCCTATATTAATTTAGGTTAGGTGATTTCTCACTAACTTGATATATAGCATCAGTCCTAAACCACAATAAAAGCCTCTACACAAGGGAGTTGCACCAATGTAACTAAACTGGTTTGTAAACCCATGTACTATAGTTCAATCAGTCCAATTCCATGTGTAGACAAGCCTCTGTCCCTTAGCGATGCTAAAACATTCAAGGCTTTTAGCATTGCTCAGGGACATGGACAAAGAGAGCTGAAATCACTAAAGAGCTGAAGTTACTATAAGAGTATGTCTACACTACGAAATTAGGTCAAATTTATAGAAGTCGGTTCTTTAGAAATCCTTTTTTCTTGTTGATTGTGTGTGTCCCCACACAAAATTCTCTAAGTGCATTAAATGCATTAACTCGGTGGAGTGCTTCCACAGTACTGAGGCTAGCGTCGACTTCCAGAGTGTTGCACTGTGGGTAGCTATCCCACAGTTCCCGCAGTCTCTGCCACCCATTGGAATTCTGGGTTGAGATCCCAATGCCTAATGGGGCAAAAACATTGTTGCAGGTGGTTCTGGGTACATGTTATCAGGCCCTCCCTCTGTGAAAGCAACGGCAGACAATTGTTTTGTGCCTTTTTTCCTGAGTTACCTGTGCAGACGCCATACCACGGCAAGCATGGAGCCCGCTCAGCTCACCGTCACCGTATGTCTCTTGGGGGCTGGCAGACGCGGTACTGCATTGCTACACAGCAGCAACCCATTGCCTTGTGGCAGCAGATGGTGCAATTGGCCTGATAACCATCGTCATCGTGTCTGAGGTGCTCCTGGCTGCCTCGGTAAGGTCGGTCAGAAGCGCCTGGGCAGACATGGGCACAGGGACTAAAATAGGAGTGACTTGACCAGGTCATTCTCTTTAGTCCTGCCAGCAGTCCTATTGTACCATCTTATGGCAAGCAGTCAGGAGATGAGGATGGCTAGTAGTCCTATTGCACCATCTTCTGCCGAGCAGCCAGGAGATGAGGATGGCTAGCAGTCCTACTGCACCGTCTGCTGCCAGCCAAAGATGTAAAAGATAGATGGAGTGGATCAAAACAAGAAATAGACCAGATTTATTTTGTATTCATTTGCTCCCCCCTCCCTCCCTTCGTGAAATCAACGGCTGACAATCGTTTCAGTGAGGTCTGTCAGGGGCACCTTGAAAAGTTTAACAGAGATTCAGTCCTGCCTGAAATACTGGGGGGAGGGACAGCTCAGTGGGTTGAGCATTGTGTTGAGCATTGGCCTGCTAAACCCAGGGTTTTGAGTTCAATCCTTGAGGGGGCCATTCTGTGTGACAGTTGTTTTTGTTTCTCCTTGATGTAAAGCCACCCCCTTTGTTGATTTCAATTCCCTGTAAGCCAACCCTGTAAGCCATGTCATCAGTCGCCCCTCCCTCCATCAGAGCAACGGCAGACAACCGTTACATGCCTTTTTTCTGTGCAGACGCCAAAACCCGGCAAGCATGGAGCCCGCTCAGATCACTTTGGCAATTAGGAGCACATTAAACACCACATGCATTATCCAGCAGTATATGCAGAACCAGAACATGGCAAAGCGAAACCGGGCGAGTAGGTGACATCAGCATGTTGACGAGAGTGATGAGGACATGGACACAGACGTCTCTCAAAGCACGGGCCCTGGCAATGTGGTGCTAATGGGCATGGTGCTAATGGGGCAGGTTCATGCCGTGGAACGCCGATTCTGGGCCCGGGAAACAAGCACAGACTGGTGGAACTGCATAGTGTTGCAGGTCTGGGACGATTCCCAGTGGCTGTGAAAATTTCACATGCGCAAGGGCACTTTCATGGAACTTTGTGACTTGCTTTCCCCTACCCTGAGGCGCAAGAATACCAAGATGAGAGCAGCCCTCACAGTTGAGAAGCAAGTGGCAATAGCCCTGTGGAGGCTTGCAATGCCAGAAAGCTACCGGTCTGTCGGGAATCAATTTGGAGTGGGCAAATCTACTGTGGGGGCTGCTGTGATGCAAGTAGCCAATGCAATCAAAGATCTGCTGATATCAAGGGTAGTGAGTCTGGGAAATGTGCAGGTCATAGTGGATGGCTTTGCTGCAATGGGATTCCCTAACTGTGGTGGGACCATAGACGGAACCCGTATCCTTATCTTGGCACCGGAGCACCAAGCCGGTGAGTACATAAACCGCACGGGGTACTTTTCAATAGTGCTGCAAGCACTGGTGGAGCACAAGGGGCGTTTCACCAACATCAATGTGGGATGGCCAGGAAAGGTACATGACGCTCGCATCTTCAGGAACTCTGGTCTGTTTCAAAAGCTGCAGGAAGGGACTTTAATCCTAGACCAGAAAATAACCGTTGGGGATGTTGAAATGCCTATAGTTATCCTTGGGGACCCAGCCTACTCCTTAACGCCATGGCTCATGAAGCCAAACACAGGCAGCCTGGACAGTAGTCAGGAGCTGTTCAACTACAGGCTGAGCAAGTGCAGAATGGTGGTAGAATGTGCATTTGGATGTTTAAAAGCACGCTGGCGCAGTTTACTGACTTGGTTAGACCTCAGCGAAACCAATATTCCCACTGTTATTACTGCTTGCTGTGCACTCCACAATATCTGTGAGAATAAGGGGGAGACGTTTATGGCAGGGTGGGAGGTTGAGGCAAATCACCTGGCCGCTGGTTACGCGCAGCCAGACACCAGGGCGGTTAGAAGAGCACAGGAGGGCGCGGTACGCATCAGAGAAGCTTTGAAAAGTTCATGACTTCATGAACTGACTTCAGCTTCATGACTGGCCAGGCTACCGTGTGAAAGTTCTGATTGTTTCTCCTTGACGAACCCCCCACCCTTGGTTCACTCTACTTCCCTGTAAGCTAACCACCTTCCCCTTCTCCCTTCGATCACCGCTTGCAGAGGCAATAAAGTCATTGTTGCTTCATATTCATGCATTCTTTATTAATTCATCACATAAATAGGGGGATAACTGCCAAGGTAGCCCAGGAGGGGTGGTGGAGGAGGGAAGGACAAGGCCACACTGCACTTCAAAACTTATTGAATGCCAGCCTTCTGTTGCTTGGGCAATCCTCTGGGGTGGAGTGGCTGGGTGGCTGGAAGCCCCCCCACCGTGCTCTTGGATGTCTGGGTGAGGAGGCTATGGAACTTGGGAAGATGGGCGGTTGGTTACACAGGGCCTGTGATGGCGGTCTGTGTTCCTGCTACCTTTCATGCAGCTCAACCATACACTGGAGCATATTAGTTTGATCCTCCAGCAGCCTCAGCATTGAATCCTGCCTCCTCTCATCATGCTGCCGCCACCTTTCAGCTTCAGCCCTCTCTTCAGCCCGCCACCTCTCCTCCCGGTCATTTTGTGCTTTCCTGCACTCTGACATTATCTGCCTCCATGCATTTGTTTGTGCTCTGTCATTGTGGGAGGACAGCATGAGCTCAGAGAACACTTCATCGCGAGTGCGTTTTTTTCACCTTCTAATCTTTGCTAGCCTCTGGGAAGGAGAAGATCCTGTGATCCTTGAAACACATGCAGCTGGTGGAGAGAAAAAAAAGGGACAGTGGTATTTAAAGAGACACATTTTATAGAACAATGGGTAAACTCTTTCACAGTAAACCTTGCTGTTAAAATTACATACATAGCACTTGTGCTTTCGTTACAAGGTCACATTTTGCCTCCCCCCACCACATGGCTAGCCCCTCCCCTCTCCCCGTGTCTAACAGTGGGGAACATTTCTGTTCAGCCACAGGCAAACAGCCCAGCAGGAATGGACACCTCTGAATGTCCCCTTAAGAAAAGCACCCTATTTCAACGAGGTGACCATGAATGATATCACTCTCCTGAGGATAACACAGAGAGATAAAGAACGGATGTTGTTTGAATGCCAGCAAACATACACTGCAATGCTTTTTTCTGCAATGATTCCTGAGTACGTGCTACTGGCCAGACATAGTAAAGTGTCCTATCATGGTGGACGGAATAAGGTTGCCCTCTCCAGAAACCTTTTGCAATGGATTTGGGAGTACATCCAGGAGAGCTTTATGGAGATGTCCCTGAAGGATTTCCGCTCCATCCCCAGACATGTTAACAGACTTTTCCAGTAGCTGTACTGGCTGTGAATGCCAGGGCAAATTAATCATTAAACATGCTTGCTTTTAAACCATGTATACTATTTAAAAAGGTACACTCACCAGAGGTCCCTTCTCCGCCTGGCGGGTCTGGGAGGCAGCCTTGGGTGGGTTCAGGGGGTACTGGCTGCAGGTCCAGTGTGAGAAACAGTTCTTGGCTGTTGGGAAAACTGGTTTCTTCACTTGCTTGTTTAGAGCTATCTACAACCTCCTCCTCATCATCTTCCTCATCCCCAAAACGGGCTTCCATGTTGCCTCCATCTCCATTGAAGGAGTGAAACAACACGGTTGGGATAGTGGTGGCTGAACACCCTAAAATGGCATGCAGCTCATCATAGAAGCAGCATGTTTTGGGCTCTGACCCGAAGCGGCCGTTTGCCTCTCTGGTTTTCTGGTAGGCTTGCCTCAGCTTCTTAAGTTTCACGTGGCACTGCTTTGGGTCCCTGTTATGGCCTCTGTCCTTCATGCCCTGGGAGATTTTGACAAATGTTTTGGCATTTCAAAAACTGAAACGTAGTTCTGATAGTACGGATTCCTCTCCCCATACAGCGATCAGATCCCGTACCTCCCATTTGGTCCATGCTGGAGCTCTTTTGCGATTCTGGGACTCTGTCATGGTCACCTCTGCTCATGAGCTCTGCTGATGAGCTCTGCATGGTCACCTCTGCTGATGAGCTCTGCACTCACCTGCAGCTTGCCACGCTGGCCAAACAGGAAATGAAATTCAAAAGTTCGTGGGCCTTTTCCTGTCTACCTGGCCAGTGCATCTGAGTTGAGAGTGCTGTCCAGAGCGGTCACAATGGAGCACTCTGGGATAGCTCCCAGAGACAAATACCATCTAATTGCATCCACACTCCAAATTCGACCTGGCAAGGCTGATTTCAGCACTAATCCCCTTGTCGGGGGTGGAGTAAGGAAATCGATTTTAAGAGTCCTTTAAGTAAAAAAAAAAGGCTTTGTCGTGTGAATTGGTGCAGGGTTAAATTGATTTAACGCTGCTACATTCAACCTCAACTCCTAGTGTAGACCAGGGCTAAGAGCTAAATCACTGAGAGCTGTGTTAAGTGGGGGGGGCGGGGGATGAAGACATATTGGTGAGCGGCTAGCAGGACAGCTGGCGGAGAGGAGCGGCTGATGGTGAAGACTGCAGTAGAACCCCATGGAGAGGTGTGGCACTCGGCTGTCGACCTGAGCAGCGGAGCATGTAAGATGCCCCCCATACCTCCCTTCACTTCCACTTCCAGGCTGGGAGGTATACTCTGCAGATGAACTTCTGAACTCTGGGGGGTTGCACTGACCAAGGACAGAAACTGGGGAGGGGAGTGTGTGACTTTTGGGTTGCTGGACTCAAGACCCTGAGGGGAAAAGGACACTGCCAAACTTACTTGGGGGTGGGTCTTTTGCTCATGGTTAGTGTTATGAATCCTGTTTGTGGTGTTTCCCCAACATAATGCTGCATTGTTTCCCTCCTGTATTAAAAGGCTTTTGCTACACTCAGACTCTGTGCTTGCGCGAGGGGAAGTATTGCCTCTTCGAGGCACCCACGGGGGTGGTATGTAATTGTCCCAGGTCACTGGGTGGGGACTTGAGCTGGTTTTGCATTGTGTTATTGAAACGGAACCCCTAGATACTGAACCCGGCCCTTGTTGCTGCCAACTCTGATGGGCAGAAGGGTTACATTTTTGGGGGCTCATCTGGGATTTCTGGGTCAGCACCCCTTGCAAGCACCTGTTGAGTGATCCACTACATTGGGAAACAATTGTGTTTATATTTTGAGGAAATTACTCTTTGTATAATGGCTAATATGTCAGGTTTGTTGGGCCCTGGCTCAGCAGCCTCTAGCTCAGGGGCCGCAGCCTCGGCCGATGATTGGGCAAAAGCAGTGGGGCAAACACTGGAAAAGGTTATGCTGTCCCATGCTGCGTCAAAACTCTTGTCATAACTTAAGGTTATTTGCTGGGGAAGAGGAGTTTGAACCCTGGTTAGAGCATACCACTGAAATGCTGCAGGAGTGGGCCGTACCAGATGTAGAAAAGCCAAGATGTCTAATAGAGAGCCTTAGGGGCCCAGCATTAGATGTGATCTGCACCCTGAAGCTCATTGACCCTGGGGTCAGTGTAAAGGACTGCCTAGAGGCCCTTGATCACACCTTTGGGAGCGTAGAGGGCCCTGAAGACAGCTTCTGGAAGTTCCTTAATTCCCGATAGCAAAGGGGCAAGAAGGCTTCAGCCTACATACAGAGACTGGAGAGACTGCTTCAGAGAGCTGTCATGAGGGTAGCAGTGACTGCTGAGCAGATGGATTGGACTAGACTGGCTCAAATCATGAGAGGAACTCAGTATCAGAACCCGATTCTACTTCATCTCCGGCTAAGAGAACGACAGGAACATCCCCCAAGTTACTCCCAGCTGATAAAAGAGGCCAGAGAGGAGGAAGAAAGGCAGGCTGCCAGCGGGTTTTGGGAAGCCCAAACATTGGAGCCAGCCAGCACCACACCACTGCAAACGGCCAGTATACTGATGGTGAGCACCAGAAAGGAACTTGCCCAGCAAATGCAGGTCCTGGCAGAATGGATAGCTGAGATGCAAAGCACCATTGACTGAGCTAAGACTTCCAGGGCTAAGGAGCCTCAGACTGTGGTGATGGAGAAGTCAGCATTTAGAGCCACCGTTCCATTCAGGCAAAGGGGGAAAAGACAGGTTTCAGAGGAACAGCCGTGTTAGTCTGTATTCGCAAAAAGAAAAGGAGTACTTGTGGCACCTTAGAGACTAACCAATTTATTTGAGCATGAGCTTTCGTGAGCTACAGCTCACTTCATCAGATGTTTACCGTGGAAACTGCAGCAGACTTTATATACACACAGAGAATATGAAACAATACCTCCTCCCACCCCACTGTCCTGCTGGTAATAGCTTATCTAAAGTGATCAACAGGTGGGCCATTTCCAGCACAAATCCAGGTTTTCTCACCCTCCACCCCCCACACAAATTCACTCTCCTGCTGGGGAAAAGACAGTTCTTCTGCTACCGATGCGGTCAGGATGGGCACAGTGCTGCCAAGTGCCGTAATGAAAAAAATCCTTCCTTAGTGTATGGAAAGCTGAGGATCAGTTGGGAGAGATCCTGTAACTGCCAGAGGGCCTGGGGACGGGGACCACCCAGGCCTGCAGGGTTTAAAGATTTCCCCAGAAAAGACTGTCCAGCTGGGATCCTGGCAGGACTGATAGGGCCTTGAGCAAACGTCACAGTGAGGATTGAAGGGGCAGAGTGTAAAGCAGTGCTTGACACTGGATCTCAAGTGACTATTATATTTCAGTCATTCTACCAGCAGATGCTTAGGCACCTGCCTATATAGCCACTGACTGGCCTTGGTCTGTGTGGCCTCAGCATGGATGAATACCCCTACCAAGGGTATGTCATAGTGCACCTGGAATTGCCAAAGGAGGTTGCTGGGGTAAGAGAAGAGGTAGACACAGCTTCCTTAACATGCCCTGACCCTAAAGGGACCTCTGATGTGTCTGTGCTGATAGGGACCAACTCCAGTCTCTTCAAGGTAGTCGCAGATTACTGCAGACAATGGGCTGGGGACCAGTACCTGAATACCCTGATGATCCATAAGTTTTGTGCTGAAGCCTATAGGAAAATTGAGAGTGCTATAAAGGAGACATCTGAGCTACCGATTGGGGCACTGAAGTACGAGGGCACAAGCCCCTTAATAGTGCCTGCAAAGACAGAGCAAGAAGTGCTTGTCATGAGTACCAGGCTGAAAGGCACTAAAAGGGCATTAGCAATGGTAGAGCAGCTGGTTGAAGGAGAGCTCCCTGAAGGAGTGCTGGTCCCCAGTGGAGTCATAACCCTACCTGCTGAAGCCCAGGAAAAGGTGATTATACTGATTGCTAATGAAACAAGTTGTGATGTTGTTGTGAAGCAAGGAAAAAAGATAGCAGACCTCTTTGAGCCTGAATCAATTGTAAAACTTCAGTGTGAAACTCAAGTTCCGACAATAGACCCAGCAAAATTTGACTTTGGAGATTCACCAGTGTCCGAGGAGTGGAAAGATCACCTGAGGAAGAAATGTTGTGAAAAATCCAAGGTGTTCTCACTGCATGAGTGGGATTTGGGATGTGCAAAAGGAGTAGAGCACAACATCAGACTACATGACTCTTGACCTTTCAGGGAGAGATCTAGGAGGATTTCTCTCTCTGAGATGGAAGATGTGCGACACCATCTTCAGTAGCTGGCTGCGAATGGCATCATTACAGAGTCCCACAGCCCATACGCCTCACCATTGTGATGGTCTGTAAAAAAATGGGAAAATCCGGATGTGTATCGACTGCTTCACCCTAAACAGCCGTACTGTGGTTAACCAGTACACTATGCCTCGAGTCCAAGATGCCTTAGACTGTTTTCTGGGAAGCCAGTGGTTCTCTGTGTTGGATCTTCAAAGTGGATACTACCGGATCCCTCTGGGAGAAGAAGATAAGGAGAAGACAGCCTTCATCTGCCCATTAGGGTTTTATTAGTTCGAACGCATGCCCAAGGGATTTCTGGAGCACCTGCCACATTTCAACATCTTATGAAGAAAGTTGTGGGAGACATGAATTTACTGCAAGTGTTAGTTTATTTGGATGACCTGATTGTGTTTGGAAGAATGTTGGAGGAGCATGAAAAAAGACTTCTTAAAGTGCTTGATAGGTTGGAGGATTATGGTTTAAAGCTTTCAATTGACAAATGCCAGTTCTGCAGAACCTCAGTGAAGTATGTGGGTCACATCGTGTCCCAAGAGGGTGTGAGTACTGATCCCATTAAAATAGAAGCACTCACTACCTGGCCATGTCCAAGTAACTACAAAGAACTCAAGACCTTTCTTAGATTTAGTGGCTACTACTGCAAATTTGTGAAAAACTATGCTATGATTGTAAAACCTCTGAATAATCTTACCGGGGATACCAGTCCAGCAAGAACAAATCTAAGACCAAGAATAAGGGGAGGTCCCCAAAGCCTCCTGTGCAGAGACACTATGGCCCCTTCAAACCATCTGGGACATGGTGGGATGAGAGACGTGAAAGGGCTTTTTGAGAAATCGTTACTTGCCTAACTCATGCTCCAGTCCTAGTCTTTGTTGACCCCAGCAAACCGTTTATTTTACATACTGATGCCAGCTTGGAGTGTCTGGGAGCAGTCCTGTACCAGGAAGTGGAAGGCAAATGTAAACCTGTAGCCTTTGCCAGCCGAGGACTGTCTGATAGTGAAACTCGCTATCCCACCCACAAGCTGGAGTTCTTGGTCTTGAAATGGGCCATCACTGAAAAATTTTTGGGGACTACTTGTATGATGCTCAGTTCCAAGTGTGACAGACAACAATCCACTGACTTATGTGTTAATAAGTGCTAAGCTGGATGCTACAGGGCAGAGATGGGTGGCCGCCTTGGTTAGCTATGACTTCAGCATTCAATACCGATCAGGAGGAAGCAATGTAGATGCGGATGCATTGTCCAGGCGTCCGCAGGCACAGGAAGTTTCTGTGATACACATGGATGGAGTAAGAGCTATTTGCAGTGTGAGTCGTCGAGAGCCAGAGGCCCATGAAAGCCTTCATGGATGTTTTGCAGAAGCTCTGGAAAGCGTGCCTTCTGCCTCAGTGAACTATATTGTGTTGGACCAATCTCCATTGCCCATGCTCAATGAGACTGACTGGCAAAAAGCTCAGCTGCAAAATATTGACATTTGTGATACACTACTTGCCAAAAGGGAGGGGTGAAGCCCAGCTGCGGTTGTCCCACCTAACCCTGAGGGTGAACTACTATTAAAAGAATGGACCAAACTAAACTGATTCAGGGAGTGCTACACTGAGTGACCATGGACCCTTTACAAAAGCGACGAGCACAACTAGTGCTGCCAAAAAAGTACAGAGCCCTGGCCATGAGGGCCCTGCATGATGACTTTGGACATTTAGGGATGGAGAGGACCCTGGAACTTATTCGTAGTAGGTTCTATTGGCCCCGGATGGCTAAAGATGTTCGCAGAAAATGTGAAACTTGCGCTCGATGTGTTCAAAGAAAAACTCTGCCCACAAGGGCTGCATATCTGAAGAACATTACCAGCAACAAACCTCTGGAGCTGGTACACATTGATTTCTTGTCTTTAGAAGTAGACAAGGGGGATGTCGGGAATATTCTAGTAGTGACAAACCATTTTACATGGTATGCGCAGGCATATCCCACACGTGATCAGAGGGTCACCACTGTTGCTTGAGTATTGTGGGAGAAATATTTATCAGTTTATGAATTCCTGGCTCAGATACACTCTGACCAGGGGAGGGACTTTGAAAGTCACCTTCTGAAGGAGGTGCTGAGGATAGCAGGAATTAAAAAGTCTAGGGCAATGCCTTATCACCCGCAAGGTGATCCTCAACTAGAGAGGTTCAATCGAACCCTGTTAAATATGTTGGGGACTTTGCGACCAGAGCAAAAGGCAACCTGGAGCCAGCATGTCACATTTCTGGTGCATGCCTACAATGCCACAAAGAACGATGCTACGGAAGTCACTCCATATCTCTTGATGTTTGGGTGAGAACCAAGATTACCCATACATTTGTGCTTTGGTGTATCAGAGGATGGAGATATCTATAAAACTCATCAGCAATATGTATCCTGACTAAAAAAAAAAGCTGCGGGATGGTTATCACTTAGCTACTGCAGCTCAGAAGAACTCAGACCGCAACAAACATCAATATGATGCTAGGGTGCGTTTGCAGGAGCTCCAGCCGGGGGACAGAGTCCTGCTGCGAAATTTGGGTATTGCTGGCTAACACAAAATAGCTGATAGATGGAAAGCAATACCTTACCTGGTGATGGAAAAGCTGGAAGATCTGCCTGTTTACAAGATCAAATGTAAAGTGGGTCCATGGAAAGATGGTGCATAGAAACCCTTTGCTCCCTGTGGGGGAATTGGTAGGCACTCCTTATGAGATGGGCCACAACAGGGCAGCCGGGCAGAACAAAAGTGCTAGACCAAAGCCACCCATCTAACATGGACAGCGGGTCCCCTGCAGCTAACCTACCCCTATTCAGCACATCTGAGAGTGAGTCTCAGGAGGAAGACACGACCATGGTTTATCCTGAAATGGAGACAAGATTTCAGTCTCGATCAGCTAAACCAAGAGAGAGTTCCCCCTTCCACGGTGGAAGTATTTAGGCCTGTTACTGGCACCCCTGTGCCGCCGATGGGATCCCCCTGTGATGACACACACAGGTTATTGGACAGTGGAGACATACAGCTGAAGGGTGCCCTGGGCACCTTGGACTTTCCATTGTTAGACCCAGAGATGCATGGGCCTATGCCAGTAGCTGAGGGACCCTCAAAGGAAACCTCTCTATCCTTTGCTCAAGATGTCCCCCCTACCCCTGCAACAAAGATTCTCAGTAGACGGGACAGGGTAATAAGACCAGTAAAACGGTTAACTTATAATGCACCTGGGTTGACTAGTAAGGAGCAATATGTTTAGCACACAGGCTTGTGGAAGCCATAGTGGGCTTCCTGAGGCCCTTTGGAGGGAACCAATGAGTTGGTATAATAGGGAGTGTGATTTGTCGGGACGACAAATTCTCATCTTGGGGGAGGATGTAAGCATAGTTGAAATGAGCTCTACCCTAACATCTGGTGGTGAGCTGTGGAAAAGGACTTCAGGGGCTGATCTTGTTTGCCTGGGCACACCCACCCTGCCTAACATGATGGACTGCCTGCCCAAATTGTCACTTTGGCTGCTGTGGGATCCCCAGTCTCTTTGTTATTGGGGCAGGAGTAATAAAGCATTGTTATCCTGGTTATGTGAATCAAGGACAGTAGAACTGTACTTGGCATTTTATGATGGAGGGACTTGCCCTCAACTAAGTAGCACTCGCTAGGCAAGGGACATGGGTTCCAAAGCCCAGTGAACTGAGAGAGGCTGGGGGCAGGAATGTGTACCTGGCAGTGTGGGCCCCTTCTAAGGGCCCTAAACACTACTCTGACCCCTTCTCTCTCCACCGTGTAATAACAGAGCTAATTTTGGCTCCATTAGGAGTCTTGTTACGTGCTGCAGAGCTGAAATTACTGATACCTCGGTCTAAGCATTAGACCTCCCTTGGGCTAGTGGTTCTGAGTGTGCCAGCACTGGGGCTCCCCTGCTAACAGCTGAAATCACTAAAAAGCTGAAATCACTAGAGAGCTGAAGTTACTAAGAGCTAAAATCACTGAGAGTTGTGTTAAGTGTGTGTGTGTGTGGGGGGTCTGAAGACATATTGGTGAGCGGCTAGCAGGATGGTTGGTGGAGAGGAGCGGATAGCAGAGAGGCAAGGCTAGCAGGGTGGCTAGCGGAGAGGAGCGGAGAGTGGAGTGGAGTGGATAGCACAGCAGTTGGCGGAGAGGAGCAGACAGCAGGACAGCTAGCAGAGAGGTGCGGAGAGCGGAGTGGAGCAGATAGCAGGGCGGCAGATAGAGAGGCGCCGCTGGTGGTGAAGACTGAAGCAGAACCCCATGGAGAGGTGTGGCAATTGGCTGTTGACCCGATCAGCAGAGCATGTAAGATGCTCCCCATACCTCCCTCCACTTCCACCCGGGCTGGGAGGTAAACTCTGCAGATGAACTTCTGAACTCTGGGGGGGCTGCACTGACCCAAGACAGAAACTGTGGGGTGGTGGGGTGACTGTTGGGTTGCTGGACTTAAGACCCTGAGGGGAAAAGGACACTGCCAAACTTACTTGGGGGTGGGTCTTTTGCTCAAGGTTGCTGTTATGAATCCTTTTTGTGGTGTTTCCCCAACATAATGCTGCATTGTTTCCCTCCTTTATTAAAAGGCTTTTGCTACACTCAGACTCTGTGCTTGCGAGAGGGGAAGTATTGCCTCTTTGAGGCACCCAGGGGTGTGGTATGTAATTGTCCCAGGTCCCTGGGTGGGGGCTCGAGCCGGTTTTGCATTGTGTTGTTGAAACAGAGCCCCTAGATTCTGAACCCGGCCCTTGCTGCTGCCAACTCTGACGGGTAGAAGGGTTACATAAGTTGTTACCTTGACCAACACTGGCAGGGCTAATATGAACAGGAAACCTCCTTTCAAGATTTCCCAGGGCAAACCCACTGGTCCTGCCTTTCCCAGCCTGCCTCCTCCACCAGTCTCCTGGGAGCTTCAATGACATCACAGGAAGAGATCATTGCACTTTGGCTTTTTCCACTTTAGATATTTTCAGCAGTTTTCAGATTTTTCCAAAATTGATCTAGTGCAGTGGTTCCCAGACTTCTTCCACCGCTTGTGCAGGGAAAGCCCCTGGTGGGCCGGGCCGGTTTGTTTACCTGCTACGTCCGCTGGTTCGGCCGATCGCGGCTCCCAGTGGCCGCGGTTCGCTGTTCCAGGCCAACAGGAGCTGCTGGAAGCGGCGCGGGCCAAGGGATGTACTGGCCACCACTGAACCTGCGGACGCGGCAGGTAAACAAACTGGCCCGGCCTGCCAGGGGCTTTCCCTGCACAAGCGGAGGAACAAGTCTGGGAACCACTAGTTCCATCTAGTGAGAGAGTTTGGGCCCCAACATCATCCTCCACTGCCTAAGCCCAATGTCATGATAGCCCAGGGCTGATCAAAACCCTCGCACCAGATCTCTCTGGGAGCTGACCCAAGCGAGAGATAGGGGGACTCTCCAGTCTCACATCCAGGATGGGGGTTCTTCCTCAAAATCTAAGTGCTGCAGTCTCACAGATTCGATGAAATGTATTGGAACAAGGGACGTTATTCCAATTCCTGTTATCATATGCATTTTGTTCTGCCGACACATACATGACAACACAGTTCTCTTTGGTGTGATGACTGGGTTCCCCAGGCCTCCAGAACCTGTAAAAGAGAGAAGCTCGTGTGTTAGAGATGCATCATTATAAACATTGCAGTGGAAAGAGTTGTAGCTGGCGATGATAAGAGGAGAAGGAGAATTGCAACAGTTGAATCAGCCACAAACACTCCTCTTCTTCAGTACACTGTTCTCTAAAATTCATTCATAGCCTCTATCCATGTTCCCTTTGTAAATCTTCTCTCTATTAGACCAGATATAGTTAGTTCCAGTCGTGGGTAAGGTGCTCTCTCTCTCTCTCTCTCTCTCACACACACACACACACACACACACACACACACACACACTACTTTGTATACTAACCCTGGAACTATGTGGAGGATGGTAAGTGGTCTCCATCCCAGGAAATACTCACGCTGCAGTATTGTTATATGGAGTCCCATCCACCCAGCGCCACTGTCTTTTCTTCTCCTGATCAGTCAGACCAATACAGTAATTCCTTCGTTGGTGGCCTGTAACTGTTCCATTTACCCGAGTGAAGATGAAATCCTGGATTAAAATAAAATAAAATCTCCACCAGGTGCAGTCCCTGGGCAGACAGTAGGAGACGGGGGTCCCTGTGGGGTGTGGTGGTGCTGGATGTGTAGGATGAGGAAGCCCAGGACTGAATGAACACAGAGCCCAAACATCCTCTTCAGGGCTACACTCTGAGTGCCCAGAGGAGCCTGAGTCTCAGCAAGTTACCTGCTCAGCTCTTGTGTTGATCACCACCAGGTGGGAGCCCATCCCTGTGCAGTTCCTCTCACTGTCATCCCAGGTCATCAAGTCTTTCGAGAAGTAGTAGCAGCTGGCCTGAAAGGGCTTCCAGCCCATGGGACAGCACGTCCAGACTCGCCCTGTGGGAGAAAAAGAGAATGAATCACAGAAAATAAAAATGGAAAGGACTTGGTAGGTGATACCCAGTTCAGACCCCAGGGCAGTTCCATCCAGTCCATCTTCATTCCACACATATCTGAAGCAATGGGGACTAACAGAGACCTTCATGGTGAGGAAATGATTCACGACCAGCAGCCTGAATTATTTTTTCTCCTACTTGGTCTTTTTTATACCTAATTCTTCCCCCTAAATCCCTCCTGGTCAGTTCTTTCCCTCACTGTGCTTGCCCCTTGGAGGCACTGGTAGACCATTAACGCACACTAACTAGTTCTGTGCTGGATTGTTTCCCTTCCTGCTTCTGCGCTTGCTCTGGCAGACTCTCCGTTAGTGTCTCCTCCTTCACCTTCTCCCCCTCTGTCCACTTCCTTCCTCAATGGTCTTCTATTCTACCTCTGCACCCTATCCTTGCCTGACCTCATCCACTCTAATCGCTTCATGTGTTGTCTCTTCTGTGAAGACTCTCACCCTTACCAGCCATTCGATCCCACCGCTATCCATTTGACCCCTGAGCTCTGCCTGTCCTTTCCTCCCTCTCTCCATCCCTACTGCCAATTCCTCAGCCCATCTCTCTCTAATCTTGACTACGGCTCCAACCCCTGCCCCTGGTCTCCTCAAGTTTCATATTGTGTCCCTCAAGTCCATCCAGCTTGCTGCTGCCATTCCATCCCCCGACCCCTCCCACTTAAGTGTCTTCATTGGCTTTCTGCTTGTGTCAGATTCAAACGCCTCACCTCACCTTCAAGGCTCTCCACAGCTCTGCCCTGTCTCCATCTCATCTATAGTGGCTTCCTACTCCTGCATTCAGCCACTTCAGCTTATCTCAGTACTCTCCTGACCGTTTCCCATAAGCTACACTGCAACTTTTCTCACTATGTCCTCAATACCTGGAATAACCTCCTTGACCCCATGTGCTCCTACCTCAAATCGCTCCTCAAAACTCATTCCTTTCAGTCAGTCTTCCATCACTGCCCTCTCTCCTGACATCCTCTAATTTGTAGTATTATGGTGGAGTGGTAACAAAGGCATACTTAAGGTTGCCTCAGAGAATTGTGCTATGTGGGAAAAGAATGGGAATATTTGCAAAATGGTTTACTACAGGAAAAACCTGTAACACACAAAATAGGGGTGCAGAAGGGCTTTTTATTTTCTGTCCATTTGGAATTTGTAGGAGAGTAATGTACTTTAAAATATTTCAGATATAGGAATGTTTTGTTATTGGATGCCTGGTGTCTCCCCTTTCAAAATAGCCTTTTGCAAGAGTACAGATGGAGCATTTACATTAAACTTCCTGCATAAAGACATTTCCTGTGTATATCTATGAATGGATACACTTCTGTGTATATCTATAGTTTACACAAACACCACTTTATAGTTTTCCATTTTGGAATTTCAGAGAAAAATATTTTTTGCTTCATAACTGATGTGAGCTGCAGCAAATTGGAAGCACTGCAGTGAAGATATGAACGTATCTACTAACCAGCAGTGACTTATGTCACTTATGTCACAGCACTACTAGGCAGTGACTTATGTTTGTACCTGATGTTAGGAGAATGTGAAGCAAATAGGGTAAAGACCGAACAATAATAATCTTGCTTCTGGCCTTGCTTTTAATTTAAACAGGCTGAATAAGCAAGAAAGAGAATGTAAGTGAAAGCACAAGGCTGCCCCACGCAAAGTGAAAGCCTTGCCTTTCAGTAACAAGAGAAGACAAGGGGACTGAATCCAGCAAGGGGTTGCTATGGTAACCAAGCAGCTGGAAGGTGGGAAGGTGTAAGGAAGAGACACCGAGTCTGCGAGAGAGTGACCATGGCCAAAAGTAACCCCGCTCCTTACCCCTCCCATCAGGTACGAAAGAGGTGGTATTATCACCCTCAGACTCAAGACCCCCCAGAACGGAACATGACCATATATTGGAAGGGGTTGGCCCAGGGGAGGGGCACTACAAGTATAATTAAGAAGAGGGGGGAGAAGAGGGAACTCCGTCGGCGTGCGGACCTAGGGCTTAGAAGAAGAAGGGGTTCTATCGGTATATAGAACTGTAGTTGGGGGAGAGGAAGAGGACAGCTCTATTGGCGTATAGAGATAGCCCGACTGGTGTGAAGGGCTTCAGAATGTGCTTGCTTGTTTAGCCCCAAGAAACCCATCACATTGCCTGCAGATTGGACTCTGGACTGTTATTTTCCAGCGAACCGTGTCTGGGAACAGAGAGGGAGGAGGGAGCTGGACCCCTGCCAACACATGGATGCAAATTCATCAGATTCCAATGACCCTATTGATTCTAATGTCAACACTGACTTCAGCATTGCCTGTTTGAAAGCACCATATTAACTAGTGAGGACATTCTTTACTACATATTATCCTCCATCTTTTATGTCTGACAGCAGATTTGCCAAGTTGCAGTGGCTACATTTAATCAAATACATTTCTTCATAGCCGAACCTTTACTGCAGCTGCTGTGTTCTTCACTATCTTGGCATCACTCTTTGCAAATGGCATGTTTTGATGCCATTTTCCTCAAATGTTGAAAAGTTAGAAAATAAATAGGTGATATCAACATGCACACTTCTTCTGCCTGCACCTACAGAGAACTTAGCACATCTTACCTATTACCATCTGTGACAAAGTGGGAATGTTCTTAATGTTTTCTCTGAATACTGTGTGGGTGCCTCAGTTTCCCCTATGCATTTCTTAAGTATCTAGGTGGTGGGATAAGGGTGTGTGATTGTTGCAGAGCCCTAGAGGGCCAGTGTGATGCTGTCTGCACAGAGAATGGCCAACATCCTGTCTCCTGGTAACTGATGGCCTGGGCCCCTCCTCCTCCACAAGGTGCCAACTGAAGGTGTTGGAGAACAAAGCGATCAGGTGGCCTCCTGGCCCGGGGAAAGAGACAGAGAGGAAAGAGACAGAGGCCAGAGGAGGGGCTGGAGGGAGTTTCAGTTTAGAGCTGGCTGGGGAAATGGAGGGAGGCCCAGAACTGGGTTCTGGGCTCCCTAACCACCCCCATGATGGACCTGACTGAGGAATCCTATTCTCTGTACCTACAAGCTCTGTTTTAGACCATGTTCCTGTCATCTAATAAACCTTCTGTTTTACTTGCTGGCTGAGAGTCATGTCTGACTGCGGAGTTGGGGTGCAGGGCCCTCTGGTTTCCCCAGGAGCCCTGACTGTGCGAATTCACTGTGGGAAGTGCACGGTGTGAAAAGGGGATGCTGAATGCTCCAAGGTCAGACCCAGGAAGGTCGAAGCTGTGTAAGCTTCTTGCCCCTGGAGACAGTCTGCTCACAGAGAGGAGGCATTCTCCCCCAGAGTCCTGACTGGCTTCGTATGGAGTAGTTCCAGAGCATCACCCAGGACTCAGTGACACCGTCTGCCATCTACAACATATTGATTACACCCAATGCATCATAAACTACCATACAGTTCTGTATTAACTCTGGTATACGTTGGAGGACACATTTTAAAAAGATCTGTCTTTGTAAGACTCGCTTCCTTTTCAGGATTTCTTTGAAGAAAAGTGAATAACTTTTAACCTGTGTCTCCACCTTGTATAAGTTACCATACAGCCTGAATCCTGACAGATGTTCCAAAAGGAGACATATGTTGAAAGTTTTTCTTTTTTTCTAAGATATCCAGAAAGAGACCCCACATCTTAAATGACTGAGTTATACTTTTATCATATGTCTCCATAGGAACAGTAAGTCTCTAAATATTTTATCATGTAGATCTTTGACCATACTCTCACTTCCTCAGACGCCCACAATTGAAATTGAAATGTGTTGTACACAATTTATGTTGTACACTCACCAGATGCATTATTACTACACTCAGCAAGTACATATGTTAGCAATTTACCAGAAACAAAAGCTTTGTCTAGTGACAGGTAAGACAGCATCCAGACACCCCATTCACCAGCCCAGAATCTAAAAAGCATGGAAATAGCAAGTTATGGGAAACTCTCAGTCATCTCAGCAACCTGAAGGCAGAGTAATTTCCCAAATGCATGGACTGTGTCAGTCAGATATGTCAATCTGTTAATACGCTAGCATATGAGGTCACTGATAAAGTTTTGTGCTAGCATGTGAGTTTGATGAAGTTGGGGTATGTGTTGCTTTTCTGTACCTGTTGGAGATGGCAGCAAAAGCCTTTTGCAGTGTTGGGACTGTTATCCATGAAACATGAAAATAGCAAACAGTTCATGAGAGTTCCCCCTTAACTTCTGACTTCCATGCTTTTAAGATTGTGCTTTGGTGGGGTTTACCTCAATGCAACCTTAACTGTCACTAAACAAAGCTTTTCTTTGTATTAACATGTATGGTGCTCACATATGCTGTTGCTGACTGTAGTAGTAAAAGCCTTACATTTGAGGAGTGTACAAAATATACTTTATATCCCACATTTTATTTTATATTTCAGACCTTACAGGAAGTCAGAGTATATTCAAAGATCTACATGAGAAAATATTTCAAGACTTAGGGTGAGATCCTGATCCCAGTGAAGCTGAGGGTAAAACTCCAATTCACTTCAATGGGATCAGGATTTTACACTTGGGGTACATCTATACTGCCCTACAGAGTTAACCTGGGCTTTTACCTGGATTTTAGACCAACCCAGGCCCCCACCCGCCACCATCCACACAGAAAAACCTCTGATCTGGGTTTGGCAGAGCTTTAAATCTGGACCAGTGTATCTGGCTGTGCAGTGGGGTTTAGAATCCAGGTTCCACACTCAGTAGGGCTGGAACCTGTCCACTTTTCATTGAGGACACAGGCAAAATGTGTTGATAATCCTCCAATACCTTCCTACAGTTCCCCCAGAAGGAAAAAACAAATTCTCCTGAAATTGACCCAGTTGACTGGGGAAGTGTCCTAGAGCATCTCAGCACACACAACCATGGGATATGGCCCCAGAGAAACATGGATAAGTGCAGACACTGTGATGACACAATAACTCAGGTTTGGCTATACAGATTCAGACTAGGCTCACACCCAGGCTAGGTTCACCCCTAGACTGGCTGACCTGGATGCGCAGATTCAGGTGCTGAGCACCCAGGCTACCTGCATGAAGCTTCTTACTGTTTTTGTGTACAATCATGCTGAAGTATAACTCCTTCTTTTAAGATATGGTTCTCTTTTTGGATTTCTTTGGGGGGAAATAACTTTTTAACATATGTCTTCTTGTAAGTGTGTCCGAGTTCAAGTTACACAGCAGTGGCTACAAGAAAGAGACGTATGGTAAAAGTTATTCTCTCAAAAACAGAGAAGTTCCATCCCACAGAAAATGCTGATATTTTGACATCTGTTTCCATCCCAAATCAGGATGAAAAATCGACATATCAAAACTTTTTGTGGAATGAAAAGTTTTGAAAAGATGTGATTTGGAAACTTCAAAATGTTGTGTTTCAGTATTTTTGACTGAAATGAAACGTTTTGACATCCCCAAATCAAAACTTTTCATTTCAATTTTCCTGATGGAAAATTCCACCAAAATCTATCTTTTCTCATGGAAAATGTTTATTTAGATGAAACTTCATTTTCTGTTTGGAAAATATTTAGTTTGAAATTTTTCAGTCAGCCTTATTATTCTCTTCTATTCAAAGAAATCCCCAAACAAAAGCATATGTTAAAAGAAGAATATATACATTTAACATAAGTGTCCTTGTATGTATGTCAGAGTTAAGGCTGATGGTAGTGTATGAAGCCTTGGGTGGGAATAAAGTGTTGTGAAAGGAGGACAGTAATAGGTAAGAATCGGTAAGCTTTTTTACCTGTGTGGGTAGAGAAACAGAACTGTGGTTGTTGATCTGAACCATTTATTTTCTAACTTTTCAGGGTTTGAGGAAAATGTTCTTAAAAGTAGAACAGAACAACTTTAACATTACATGACATTTGTTCTGTGAGAAATTATCTCAAACAATGAAACATAAAAAACTAGAACTAATGAGAGAAGCACTTAACATTAAATCCACCTCATGATCTTTCATTGGTATAAAGTTCATCTACATCTACTCCCTCCACTGCTCTTTATTTATTGTCTTCCCTAAGGTTTAAGACAGATATGTACTTGGGGTGGCTAGCCGCTTCTACTGCTTTTGCTGCCACAGCTACATTTCTATTTATAGTGCACTAGCTCAGTCAAAGCTAGCATGGGTATGACTCCTCAAGCTGGAAATTACAGCCCTGGCTCCAGTATATCACCATATTTGGGGTCGGGGAGGAATTTTCTTCCAGGGCAGATTGGAAGAGGCCCTGGAAGTTTTTCGCCTTCCTCTGTAGCATGGGGCACGGGTCACTTGCTGGAGGATTCTCTGCTTCTTGAAGTCTTTAAACCATGGTTTGAGGACTTCAATAGCTCAGACATAGGTGAGAGGTTATCGCAGGAGTGGGTGGGTGAGATTCTGTGGCCTGCGTTGTGCAGGAGTTCGGACTAGATGATCAGTTCTGACCTTAATAAATAATAATATCTATGATATATATACTCTTAGCCAGTGAGCTTCTTAGAGCAAGGACCTATCACTTGATTGGTTTTCAAGCATCGTGTGCACCTAAGGTGTTGTATAAATAAAAGATGCACATCTCTAGGTAGTTATCACTTATCCAATCAATGGGAAGCCTATGTAGTGGTAACAAAAGAAGTGGGTAAATTAACTTAACCTAAACCCTATATTCCCCAAATGAGAAGTGGGTAAACTCAATTTACCTGCATTTACCCTCAACTACAATACTGTGCCTATGCGTTTATCTTATTCTTTCCTCAAAAGTCAATCTCTCCACACCCCTTACGTTATTTGCTGTTAATTTAGGTCTGAATGTTAATCAGGCCCCAGCCCCAGAAAACTGACTCTGGGGTCTTTTCTTCTCTTTTAGTGTTATTGACCTTTCTTATCAGGTTCTTCTTCAACACAGTTTCTCTTCCTGAGATACTGCCTCACCATCTCGTACTCTTCACAGCTTTGATTTGTCCTTAGGCCAACCTGGGTAACTGTAAAGGAGAGAGAGAGAGAGAGAAAAAAGAGTGGATAGAATATTTCCCTCCTTCTTGCCATCTCTTCCATACATCGTGACTTCTCCTGGTGTTCACCAGGGACTGCTTCGCTTTTGTTTGTTTTCTTGTCACAAATGCCATCGCAAACCTCCCCAGGGAGTAGAATAGGGCAGCTCTCTTGAGTTCCCTCTGTTATCTTGGAGGCCCAAGTGCACACTGTCATAGGGACAAATTACCCTGGTCTAGTTGAGGAATAGAAATTATTGATGGGGTAGGAGGCTGTCTACCCAGGTGCCAGCTCAGGACAGGGCTGCAGCCTAGTTCACTCATATGTTAATAGAAATCAAAAAAGTGTTAAAAGATATTGTGGTGTAATCAGGCCCATTCACTTGTGTGTTAGTCTAGTTCAAAGGAGATTGCAATGGTATTGACTTCACTTATCTATAACCTGTTGATTTAGGATGACCAGGTGTTTGGTCTTTGACTGGAACATCCAGTCGAAAAGGGATCCTGGTGGCTCCGGTCAGCATGGCTGACCAGGGCGTTGACTGTCCAGCTGGCGGTGCCATGCAGCAGGGCTGGCAGGCTTTCTGCTAGCCACTGCATCACAGCTCCCGGGAAGCAGCCAGGATGCCCAGCTCCTAGGCTTAGGGATGTCAGGGGGGTCCGTATGTAGGTGCAGCTCCCATTGGGCAGGGCAGGGCAGGGGACAAACTAGCGAGCCTAGCAGTCGGCTGTTGAGGGGTTGTGGTGCGCGTCTCTCCTGCTGCTGCTGGCCCACTTTTTTTCCTCACGCTCCTTCTGTGGCTGGACTCGAGCTGCAGTGTGTGCCCTGCGGCGAACCGCGGCCTGTCACCCCATTGCCGGCACCCAGGAGTTAGAGGTAAGTATCCCTGTCTCCGAGTGCTGGGAATGGGGCTGCTCCCCCACATCCCCCTCACTGCATCCCTCCCCCCCCCCAACCTCCCTGGGTCCTGATCCCCCCATCATTGCATCCCTCCCTGTCCCAATGCCCCTGCACCCCCATCCCCCTCACTGCATCGCTCCCCACAACCTACCCTGCCCCCCACCCCCGTCATTGCATCCCTCCCTGTCCCAACCCCCGCATACTCCCATCCCTCTCACTGCATCGTTCCCCACCCCAACCTACCCTGCCCCCCACCCCTACCCATCCCAGTCCTGTACCCCTTATAGCACTCTCTCACCCATCCTCTCCACCTCCCAGAACCTCCCCCCCATGTCCCCCACCCCCCACAGCCCTGCACCCCATTCACCTCCAGACACTGCTGCACTCCCATTATGATCCTATACACTCATGTGCCCGCCACATACTCAAGCACCTGTAGCCTTCTGTCTCCCCCTGCATCCCCATTCACCCCCCATACCCCTTTCTCTCTCCTTCACTACCCCTTCTCACCCCCACGCTGCTCTCGTCCTTGATCTCTTTCCCTCCTCATTCTCTCACCTCCAGCCCCCGCCCTCCCAGCTAGGTGTCTCTGTGTGTGCATGCATGCATTGTGTGTGTGTAAGAGACTGTGTGTCTTTGTGAAGGGAGGTGTGTGTATTGTTGCATGTGTGTATACCGGTGTGAATAAAATTTGCAGCCTAACTCTTTGACTTTTATTCCTTTTGCTGGCTTGCACACAAAAAAATCGATGACATAAAATATGTGTGTATTAATTTCACAACACGTTTTTAAAAGAGAAGGGAACGCTAAAAGAAAAGTATTATTTCTTAAAAAGTGAATGTTGTTGACTAGTAATTGCAGAAGAGCCAATGTATCATAGATTTCTCCCCACCTTTGTCTAGCTACATATAAACTCTTTGTTGCAGACTCTCTGTTTTTATGTGTATGTCCACCACCTACCACCCTGGAGCCCTGCTCTGAGTTGGGGTCTCTAGGCACTAAACAACAATTGTACTAATAAATAATGTGGAAGTATATGCGTTAGTGCATGCTAGATGTGTACACATGAATACATGTGTGTATCTGCACGTACGTGTGGGAGTCAGTTTCTACAGATTTATTTATATAGGTATCTGGACAGGTGTGCATTTCTGTGGTTGTGCTCTATGGATTTATATTTGGGCTTCAGGAGTGGGCCTTTAATAGACCCATTGCAGCTGTGATAATGTGTGGTCCTAATTCCACACATAAAATTACAATAACTTTAGTGAACAAAAAACATGGAGCTGGTTACGAAAAATGGGAAGAGGGGAGGGAAGGAATCCTGAAAATCTTTGTGAAATTTCATTTTTTAAAAAATTATCCTTTTTGACTATTTTGTGGCCAGCTAGCGACCTGTAACAAATAAAACCTGAACTTAGCATAATACATCTGTCAAAACAATAAATATGCCTGTTTGGGCCTTGCAGTGCAAATGAGCATGTGAGTGAGGGTGGGGGAGATCAAGCAACAGAGGGAGGGGGGATGGAGTAAGCAGGGGCGGGGCCTCAGGAAGAGGTGGGTCAGTGGGCGGGGCAAGGGTGTTTGGTTTTCTGGAATTAGAAAGTTGGCAACCCTAATTGCATTATGTATAACCCTGTAAATTAGTTAACCTTAAATCAAAAGTGTGTGTTAGTATTAAGATGAGAATGTACTTCATGAAAACTAATGAAGGATTGTTATTGACTATTATATTATCTTTTGCATTATGTATATCCTTGTCATTAAATTACCCATCAAACGTGATAGGAGCCTTGGAAATATAAATGAAGAAAGTTGCTAACTTCAAACAAAGGCCATTGTGTTCCACAATGGAAATTCACAGACTCAGTTTGCATTTCTGACTCATTATAACCCACATGGTTAGAAAAACTGTTAGCTTGTCTTCTGTGAGAAGAAGATATAAATATGGATTCAAAGAAGATCCTGTATCTCTGACTGTTTGGGCTCTGGTAGGAAAGTGTACGAGATATAAAATAGAGATCCTCAGACACAAGCTGGGTACCCCTGAAAAGACTTTTCGGAAACTGGCAGGTTATTACATCAACTGCTATCATTTGGATTTACAAACTTTGTAAATGTATTTTACTTATTTTAACCTCTCAGTAACTCTCATTTCTTTTTCTTAGCTGATAAATCTTTAGTTAGTGTACTAGAGAATTGGCTGCCAGCATAGTCTTTGGTATGAGATCTGGAACACCAATTGACCTGGGGGTAAGTGGCTGGTCCTTTGGGACTGGGAGCAACCTGATGTGGTGTGATTTTTGGTTTATATGACCGTTATCACTAAGTCCAGTTTGTCAGGGCGGTAAGATTGACTGGAGAGCCTAAGGGGAATGCCGTGACTCCATGGTAAGACTGGTGTAGTGATTCAGGAGCTCACATTTATTACTGGCTTGGTGAAATTTAATGATAGAATATATCACCAGTTAGGAGTGTCTGCCCTGTTTTCTGACAGCCTGACCTGAGATTGTCACTCACAGTTGTGTGCCACTCCAAACAGCATGACATGGGGAAAAACTTATGAGGTCACAGCTTGTCCATCCAATCCCCCATCCTCCCTTGGCAGGCCCATGCAGGACTGTTCCTTACAGTATAATCTCCAGGTTTGTCAGACCCAGGTGATGGGGTTTCCTTTTCCCTTCTTTTCAGAAGACTCTTCCACAGTCTAACCGGCCTCCTCACAGTTAGGAAATGTTTCCTGATCTCCAGCCTGCACTGACCATCTTTTGTCCCTAGTTGTGCCCCTCCCTCCTTAAATAATCAGTCCATTTATACTCACCAATGAGGGCGATGAGGAGAGAGATAGCCAACAGCAGCAAGAGTGCAGCAATCAGCCATGGGAGCCACTGGGTGTGCTTCTGGGGTGCACTCTGGGATATTCTCTTCTCTAGGTGTGCTAAAGGTGAAGAAACTCCCAGCCCCAGGACGGTTAGTTCTTCTCATATCAGCCCCTGTCTGTTAGGGTTCTGCAACGAACTTAAAACTTTCCTGAAGAGCCCATACTCTGGACAAGACTAGACAATCATGAGCAGCTGCTGCTGTTGCTGCCCTCTAATGACCCTTATTCAGGAGTTTAACATGTTCTTAGGGATGGGAATAAATTGGAACATTGGGTCTGACTCCTGACCTCTCCAAACTCTGCAGAAGATCAGATTTAGATCCAAACTCTATGTCTCCAGCCCATGTAATGAGCAAATATTTGGATTCCGGTATTAGGGAGTGAGGGCCTAGCAGGAGGTTACGGGTTCAAGGGAGCTTTTCACATCTCATCAGAGCAAGCCCAGTGCTGCTAAAGTTCATGTTGCTCTCCAGGTGTCATTTGTCTCAGATGATCGGAGCAAGGAGTCTTTGAGGAGTTCTTAGGATACCCTGCACTCCCTCTTAACGTGATTCTAGCTCCTATTCCCCTCTCCCCATGATTTTGGATGCGGTGGGTGGTAATGTAACATGTAGGGTGACCAGATGTCCTGATTTTATAGGGACAGTCCTGATATTTGGGGCTTTTTCTTATATAGGCTCCTATTACCCACCCCCCCACCCTCTGTCCCGATTCTTCACACTTGCTATCTGGTCACCCTAGTAACATGTAATGCATCAGCAAGTGGACTGAAGGGAGGGGGATAGATGGTAGCAGTAGGTGGGAAGGGAGTGTTAAGGAGAAGGCACTAATTAGTGTCCTAGCAGCCCCTTCCATATCTGCTGAATCCAAGCCAGGCATTGAGGAGACTCTGTGTGGTGACATTAGGTATCCCAGGCTGTTAGTCTGGGAGCTCAGGGTCTAGCAGGTTCACTAGAAAATCCCCTTTATATTCATTGTTCCCGAGTCCCGTCTTCTTCGCTACCATGAGGAACCCCACAGATGCCAGAAGGGTGAGAGAGGTGGGAGGGGGTAGCTCTCACACTGAAAGGGAAGGAATGGAGGGCACTCCCTGAGGGACTGGCTGCCCCAGGTGGCAATAAGCAGGAACACTTTGGGAATATGGGAGTGTGGGGAGAAAAGGGAGGACACTTTAGGCAGTTGTGCTATTCACAATTGCAGGAGAGAGGTAAAGGAAGTTGAGTTCTGCTGTTGAGGGAAGGTCCCTTGAGTGGCTATAATTATTATTAGAACCAGAAAGACCCAGTTTCCACCCGAAGGCTGAAAGGCTCCAGAGCACATTCCCTAATCCCACTGAGCTAGCCGGTGCCTCTGACTTGGGGCTGCGTGGGAACCAGTGTCACAAAAATGAACCGCTCCATAGCCCATCCCCCAAATAGCTTGTTATTTACCTGTGGCCTCTGCAGGTGGTGGTGCATTCTTAAACTTCACCTCGGCGTAGGTGATCTCCGACGCCATTCAGAGACTGTGTGGCCTGTGTCTTTATATATTTATAGTTCCATCACATTTAAAAATTGATCTTTTAATTCCCTAGAGCCAGAGGTTTCAGAGTAGCAGCCGTGTTAGTCTGTATCTGCAAAAAGAACAGGAGGACTTGTGGCACCTTAGAGACTAACCAATTTATTTGAGCATAAGCTTTCGTGAGCTACAGCTCACTTCATTGGATGGTGACACTTGCCAGTCACTTCCCCTCAGGAAGCTCTGCTACCTCCTCCCCCACCAGTGAGAGGAGGAGAAGCTGGGAGTGGAAAGCCCCTAAGAGGAGCTGAAAGATGTTGGAGACAGAGATACACCCTGGACAGCTCTTGGGCTTCTTCACCCAGAAACCCAGACTCAGGTTTCCAGAAACCCATGAAAAAAGAAGGGAAAACAGGAAGCTCATGGCTGAAAAGGAAGTTGCATCCTCACCCCTAACAAAAATGCACACTTATCTCCCAGCCAGCACAATCTCTTTTTCTTTCTCTTTGCACGTTTCCTTTTTCAATTTTTCTTGCTCTCTTCTCTGAGTCTTTCCTTCTTTCATTGTTTTGCCGGTTGTGACTGCACACCCTCAGCTACATGAACAAAATCACCCTTTGCTGACAATGTGTAACGTCTGCCATAACCTCAAGTGCAGCCAAGGACAAGTGGTCAGCACTGGTTGAGACACTATGGTTAAGCCCTGCCTCTCAGACAAAGGGCAAGATGTGAACTAGTAGTTTCTCTCCATCCCCAGGAGTTACAGTCTAGGCTCAGTCTCTCAGGGCTTATCTACATAGGAAAGTTTTACCAGTTATACTTGTATAATTATAATTAAACCGTTGGTATTGCCCCAGTACAATTCCCCATGAGTATACCCTTATTCTAGCCTAAGGGTAGCGGTTTTTGAGGGGGTTGCAGGGGTTAAGCTTAAATCCCTTACAAAAAGAGATAAGATAAACTAGAGAAAGACGCCCTTAAACCAGAATAAGAGTGTTCCCACAGGGAATTATACCAATGTAATACAGCACTTTAAATTCACCTCCCACCTTATTCTGGTATAATTTACCGTGGAGACAGGCCCTCCTTTGAAAAATCTGCCCTCTTCCTGTGCCTCCTCACATCAAAGTATTTGAGTCTCTAACACAAGGGGGCTGAGTCTTTTTCCTCTCCTCTTCTGGTAAGTATGTCTGTAAAATAGCATGAGTCAGTGGCCATAACTGTAACAGTTTGTGGTTTTTTCAGAGGTTTTACAGTCCCTGCTGCTCACACAGCACTTGTGAATATTTATCCCAGACAATAATGATGAGAAATAATAACTATTCACTGTACTGCTTTGCCCTCGTCTACATGGCAAGTACAACCAGGCTAGAAGCCCCAGTCACAACGGCAACTCCCAATAGAGTTTCAGCAGGGCTCCATCTTAATTGGAGGCTTGTCTCCAGGAGAAAACTGCACTGGTTTAAATAAATGGGGTTTAGATGCCAGTTTAGTTAATTTGGTGCAACGCCCTGGGTGCTGACACTCCTATTTCTATATGAAAGTGTCACACTGATTTAGCTTAGGACAATTCCTTACTGACTGGCATGCCATTGACTGACAGCCCTTGTCATAAACCACAATAAAAGCCTCTACACAAGGGGGTTGCACCAATTTAACTGAGTTACTCTAAGACTTCATGTGGGCCTCTCTAAAAAGCAATTGTAAAAATGGCCCCTCCATGCCCTACAGACCTGCTCCCTGTGTGAGTTCCCAGTCAACCTACTGAATTTACATGTTTGTTGCCTTTTACTCCTGTTAGTCCTGCAGAGAACAGTACAGCTCAAAGAGAGAAGTAGAGTCTGTTCCTGCCTGTGCATCATCATCAGAGTTCTTATTTGCTATGCAATTCTGCCCTAAGTTACACACCCAGGAGACACAATGAGGGTTGTGCAGGCATCCTTGAAGGCAGAATTTGCCCTTCAGAATCTTAATAGCAGTGATGATGAGTGAAGAAGAAAGAGCCCAGCTTAATTCTCAGAGCCCAGGGGGATTTGCAGGGATGGACATTAGAAAATATATCTATCTATATCTTTATTTGGACTCATTAAGAGACAATGAAGATCTATGAATCCTTGTGACAGGGTGTGCCAGGTCCTTTGATGCCCACTGATAGAGCCATCCCTGACCTGCCACACCCTGTCCTGCCACACCCTGTCCCAGAAAAGAATCAGAGAAGGTGGGTTCTCCAGACCTGCCTAGAAAGGCTGCAGGGAAGCAGCCAATCAGAGCCCTAAAGGCTCAGTTAAAAGGAGCTGCAGGGGCTAAGCAGGTCAGATGCTGGCTGGGCCTGGAAGGGTGAGAAAACCTGTGAGAGACCCTGCTCAGAGAACTTCAGCCCTGAGGTAAGGGTGAAGAGGAAGGGGCCATGTGGGAAGTGGCCCAGGGAATAGCAGCAGCAACTATGAAAGGAAGTCACATGTGGCTGCTAATTGTAGGGTCCCTGGGTTGGGATCTGGAGGGGCTGGGTCCCCCCACTGGCAGAGTGGCCAAAGCCCTCACAAGGGGAAAAGCTTTGTGTAGTAGCACAAGGCTGGGATTTAAAGGGCTCTAGGCTGGGGCCGAAGACCCTGCAGAGGGCTAACCATTTGTTGAACTTTGTTACCTTGGGGACTGAAGTGAAATGGGTGACTTGGCTGGAGAGCTGGGGACATCACAGGACTGCTAAAGGCAAAGAGTTTCCAGGGAGACAACCTGAGGGCACTGCTCCATACCAGGGCAGGGGTGGACTTAAAGTTAGCCCAGAAGGGGCTGAGAACTGAGCCCAGAGACAGGGCTGTAGATACCAACCAGAGCACAGTGATAGGCCCTGTTGGACTTTTGTTACCCTGGAAGGGGCTTTTTTACATGGTTTGACTGTGTGTGCCTGGACCAGAGACCCACCTGATAATGTTAACCGCTGACAGAGTGGGTGTGAACTTGCACATAATTGACAGGAGGCACTGATAAGGTGAGTGTCCCCCATCACAATGCTGAAGACCATGGGACCCCACAATGCCCTTTTTATAGCACAGTCCCCAGAGAAGGGAGGGAGAAGGAGGCACATTGCTATTAAGAGTAGCTTGTTGTTTTGCAATATGTATCCTTTACCTCATACTCTGCAAAGGAAACAGGCTGAGACTGATCCCATTAGATCTCACTAGCTAGGGGCTAGGCCAGGTTACAAGTAAGATAGGAGACTATCAAGGAAGAGCCAAGTTGCTGCAGAGAATGCTGTGGGTGGATCCATAGGGGGTGCTTATCTCCCTGTGTCAGTACTGGCCCCAGTGTGAGACAAAAGGTAGATTGTATTGAAGAATGACTAATGAACACATGTTAGGGGGAGCTACCAGCAGTCTCTGACCTGCTGGCCATAGGGGAGAGCACCATGGACACTTCCCTTTCCTATCTAACCTACTTGCTTCCCTCCTGTACCCTGGGAAATACCAGGAATAGAGTTGCATGTGACTAACAGCCAATCTAGACCCTTAAACTCCAGTCTCATTCCCTTGGTCTCTAGGCATTGGTACCATTTACCCTGGGAGTTCACAACTAAGCCTGGGATGCAGTTTAAGCTCTTCACGAGCTTTACCCCTTGACATTAAAGAGGAATTGGGCTGGTTTTGGTTCAGCCCTTCTGCTTAGATTCCAAACCTAATGACACCTGCTGCTTCTCTCTGCAGCCTGAACTGATTTCAAGCCAGCCACCAACATGGGTGGTAGGGATGCTCCCTTGTAGACCTGCTAGCTGAGGGAGTCCACCATTTCCCTTACACTGGGTGTATGCCCTAAACAAGGAGTGTTACTTAGCACGGACTGAGGAAGCATGAGTATTTATAATTTCTTTTCACTTGGTACATTGTGTGAGATAGAAATGGGATTCTGATTCCAAAGAGCTTCTCTATCTAATTTCTGATGAAATGCAGTGAGGACTGGAGGGAGGAGCACCATGTGTAGGGACTGGGGAGCACTAGCCAAGATGTAAGGGAACTCATTGACTGGACTAGCAGGTTGTCCTGGAGGTCAGGAGTGAGGTGCATCAGCAGATCTGTGAGGGGATCTCAGGACTGGAATAGCAGGGAGATGACTATTTAAAGAGTGAGATGTAATGGCAGAGCTGGGATCAAGGGCATGGAAGTAGTGAATGAAAGCAGTGCTTCCCTGCATGAATGAAGACCTACTACATGTAAGATTTAATCACAGCATACTGAGGCTCTCTGCATTTGTGAGAGATTAGGGCTTGGTTCCTAGGAATTAACTGAATTAGTCTGTATTTTCCAACAAAAATTACTTTAGTCAGATAAAGACATTAATAGGCAGCCCTGAAGTGAGCTGAGAGCTATGCTACCCAGGCTTTGTGATTCACAAAGGGCAAGAGGTCATCTTGGTACTCTGGGGGTCTCTTCAGGGCTGGTTGCCCAGGAAATGGGCTTCCTGGAATGAACTGGGTCAGTCTGTTTACATCTTCACTTTATTAGGATAAACACCATAAAAAACACAGCCCTGAAATGAGCAGGGAATTCATGAAGGGGCATTGTACACAGTGAGAATAAGGAGTGAGCAAAAAGAGGGCAGCACCAGTGAGAACTTTATACAGAGCATCAGACCGTCTGCCTCAAAACCTAACAACAAAGAGATGGAGGCCTGTGGCCTCCTCAGAGGCAGGGGCGGAAGCTCAGTTGCTGCTGCTAGTCAAAACTAGAATTTCTCCAAATGGAGACTGTACCACAGGGAACGATCCAGCACTGGCTCCTGGGCAGTGGCAGCCATCCCTAGACTGGTTTTTGTTTCTGTCTTTGACTGAAGCTCCTGTACTTTGAAAACCCATCCTTTTTCTACAGCTCCTCACAGCGGGACATTTGAGTCTAACACCAGACCCAGGTATTTTTGGTTTACATCTTATACCCCAGCTGGCTTAGAATTACAAGTGTGGTGTGGGGAAGCAGTTACAATGTGGTTTCTCTTGTGTAGATCCTTTCCTAGGTCCTGAGCCTTACTTGCCTGAGGCTTTGGCTCCATCTACACCACAAAATGGAACTGAGTTCTAGATGGGTTAGAGGATACCAGTTTCGACCTACTAGTATTTCTAATATATACTCTA